TAATAAATGCTTTCAAAGTCAACGAAAATGACCAGTATCAGTTAAATAGAAGTGACTTTTTATGTTCCCCAAATAGTTGTGGAAACCAAAGATGAGAGACATCAGATAACATTACAAGATTACTCAAGAACTAGGCAGCAAAGTCATGTAACTAACTGAGGAAGAAGTCAGGTCCCAGTGCAGCCAGTTCAGCAATGGCAGAAGCCTATGTCTTTCCTTACAACGATTTTTAAAAGTTTATTAGAGATGCTAAGTTAAAACAACACACACCAAAACAGCATTTTAAAACAAACTTTTAAAGGACATGGAGACATAAAATTCTTAGAAATCGGTATTTCCCAGTTCAGCTGACATTCGAAAGCTTTGCTTCTGTTTTTTTTTTTTTTAATAATATAATAGTTCATTTTTACATCATCTTCTTCTGTTTTAAGCTTTAAATCTGGTTTAGGTAAAAAGCTAAGATACTTTTTGTACCTAATGAGAACTTTAAAAAAAATTCTTTCCAACTGTATCTTGTAAATTCTCCAATTTTAAACTTATTGATGTATCAATACCTCTATATATGTGTGTTTTAAGTTAGGGTAAAAAAAGCCTTTTCTTAGTTTCACATCCTAGATCTGCTGTGGAAGATAACACCAGAATTTAAGTTAATATATCCTCTACTGTTTTATATATAGGTATCCTCTACCTCCCTTACCTATATGCATCCTCTACTCTTATATTTTCATGAATATATACATATTAATATACACATATATTCATTATATATATATTAAATCTATACATTCTATATTATAATGCATATATACATATATGCATTTTCATGGGAAGCAAGGGATCATTGTCTACTTCGGAATACCAAAATCCCAGCTTCTTATTTGACTCAGAAAGTATAATAAATATCTTACTTGCACCTGGAAGCAAAGAGAGGCTGCCTGCTCTCCTTCCTCTCGCAGTCCGTTTCTGTCATGGAACCATTATGTGGTGATGGGCTTTCTCAGAAAGTGCAATTTGTAAACCTCCATAAAGAACTTAGCTTATTACTTTACAAAAGAGCAAAGTGATTTCAAGAGGAAACATAATAATGCCACAAGATTATTCAAAAACAAAGAAAATGCAGGAAATCGAGGAAGGAGGCGACTTCTTAATTCCCATCAAATTACCATAAAACATCAAACCCTCAAGAAACGTCTTCACCTTGCAACGTGCCTGTTGAGCGCTTGGCCATTGTGCAAAGCCACGTGCTAAATCTGCAGGTAGCAAGTATACCTGGAGTCTTTAACAGCAGCTCTGGAAGACAGTTTTGAAATGTGCAATGAAAACCTAAGACTGGCAATTTACTTTGAGTAAGTATAAAATGAGGTAGGAGGAAAAGACTTTAAAAGGTCTGAAAATGAATGGCTCTTTGTTTCTTCACAGCCCAAACTCCTTAAACATGGTAACAGGTAATTTTAGCTGCCACTGGGCTGACAAAGTGATACCCTAACTGTTAATGCTAAAAGATATTTGGAAAGAAAGCAGTATCTTAGAGATGCACAGTTTTGAACTAAATCTAGTCTTCTACATAGTAGAACTTGATATCTGAAGCAGAAAATAATATTGAGCAGATGAACATCCTCTGACCTTTGATGATTTTGTTTATTATCCTCATCTACATAGTTAAAGCTGTAAAAGCTGTCCCCCAGAAAAAATCTATAAATGACACGTTTATTACTGAGTGACTCAAAGCAATTATGCTAATAAGTGGTACTCTAAGGTCCTTTAAAAGCAATAATGCATCCTGATAATACAATACAGAATAAGAAAATCAACATGTCAAACACATGTTTAGCCCTTCTTTAGTTGCTGAAGACCAGTTATATACTATCAACGAATTATCTGAAGACTTATCTAATGAAGTCATAATAGGAGTGTCAAATATAGGTGAGTATAGTCTGACTGGTAACAAAATGTAGAATAACTCAGTCACGTCACAAGTCAAGAAGAAGCATACTGAAAATCCCTTTGGTAAATATAGGTGATTGAAACAAAAACAAGAAACAGAAGTCCTTTGCTGTGGAATTGCTTTACTCAGTTCTAAGTAAAACGAACTCCCGTCAACTAGATTTGATCATGCCAGTGACGTACTTTAACCTGTTTTCTCAATTACTCATTCAAATTTTTCTTCCGATACAGAAAACACACACAAAGGTCTACATTTCCTCAATTCAATAATTAAACCAGTTACATACAACATTATTCTGAAAATGCTGTAATCACAGAATACCCATAGTGGGATTCCCATTTCATGGTGTTAAAATGGCATTTAACATCTAGTTTCTGACCACATGCCAGAGCACTCACAGATATATCCCTGTTTGTGTAGCGCCTCCGTCCAGCTAGGGATGAAGACAATCGACATATAAACTCCAAATACAAGGTGGGAAACAGACTAGAGAAGAAATAGACCCAGAAGATTTAAGTAAGTAAGAGTGTGAGGGCTGGGGGAAGACTACTGGATTAGGAGGTCAAGGACAAACTGAAGTGGCCACAGTCAAGGTCACCTGCATGCTGAGAAGGCCACACTGAGAAGCATAAGCAGTGGGAATATGGGAAACGAGATCAGAGAGGCAGCAAGTTCAAATCATGCACGGCTTTGGGTCGTGAGAAGAGTTTACAGTCCTCCCTAAGAGTCATGGAAATTCTTGGAGGATTTTAAGCAAGGTAGCACCATGATTTAAAGATCAATCTGGTAGCTGAATTCTGGTAGAGTTAGAAGGGAAGTGAGAAGACAAAACTGGAATCACGACTAGCAAATGTATAAGTGGAGGACATTAGGCACATTAAAGAGAGGGATTAGTGAGTTCTTGGTGCCGAAAACTTACATATAATGACGCCAGTTGCCAGCTTAGAAAAGAACATGCAGTATAGAGAAGGAGTTGTTTGCCTTTCTGAAAATGTTGTTCTTCAAATTCTCCCCATTAACATCTTTGTATACTAAGAACCTGCGACTTGTGAGTTTGATCATTTTATAACGTTACCAGAACGGGAGTCAAACTCAAAATCCACTTCTCGTCAGTGTCACCTACCATCATGATCTTCTCTGATTCCTCTACAGTGCCAGGAGAACCTCAAAGAATAATCAGCACTCATTCATTCTGTGTTTGTTTTCAGCTCAGAGGTCTTGCTGTTTCAAATAGAGAAAAGGTGGAGCCAAGTATTTTATAATAAAATCTCACTGTCTTTCTCACTGTGAAAAACCTAATAACATATATGAAGTAGGTATTTAGTGTATGTTTGCTGACCAGTTTATTGTTTTAGTGCTGAATCACTAATAAAACAGTTTCATGCAGCTAATCTTTGGCTAAGAGAATATGCACAACCCCTCAGAGCACCTGCTGGCTCTTGCAGACAGATACTGAAATTGTTCATCAATTTTCTCTTTTACATGCTACTCAATTAGTTTGACTGGGGCAAGGTCTGGAATATGTATCAATCAAAGCATAATGATGAACTGACTACAAGCAATCTTCCTACTAATTATTTGCACCCACTATCTTAGGAAAGGAGCTTTGGTCTAAAACAGTATTCAAATGTAGGAAGTTTTAAAGAGAATGCAGTAAGGACAGAATTACCTGGTGTTTCTGCTTTCTGTAGTACAATATGGATTTGAAATCAATTTTGAATATTATCAGTGAAAAAAATTTTATTAAAAGAACACTCATTAGTACAGTCTATTTTATATTGATTGTCTCAGCTCAAAGTTTTCTTCAGGGTAGACTGAAAGCTTAGTAGAGTTTAGATATCTGGATTTGCAGTTTGTTGATTATGTAAATTAACTGCTTGTTTAATTTTAAATTATTAAGTCAACTACAGCTATTTGGATAACATTATATTTAAATCAGAATGCAGATATCATTCAGATCTGTTATTCCCTTGAGAAGTGATTGTACTGTCATACAATGTTGATCTTTCATTTACCCAACAGGTTAACATGGAAAGTTAATGAATTAGCAATCAGAACAGCATTTAACCAAAGGTTCTAGGTACTACACATAACAGTGTATTGAGTTTCAAGGAAGACAGTGATTGTGGTTATTGTAAAATTCTGGCACTCTATAAAATAGCTACTGCCGGTAGTGACAGACAGAATGAATTATTCTGTTTTTCCATGTTATATGCGATTGATAAAATAGTATCTAATCAAATTAAATATAGCAACTTTATAATATATGAAACTTATACCAAAGATAACACAAAAAGTACTCTTTCAGTGGAATCTCATTAACTAGACAGCACTTTCAGGCTATTTAAAAATCTATTTTCAATGGCTTCCATAAGGCGTGTGTACATTTACAATATTTTTATTTTTTCTATGCTTCCATTTTAAGACCTGAAGTTAATAAATACTGAACTTGTTTAGCTTTATCATAAGTTTTTATTCCTTTCTCACTAACCTGCATGCATTTGTATACTATTTTTACCTATACCATAGTTTTTAGCTCGTGATAAAATGATTAAGTTTAAATTGTTCATTTAAAAAATGCAGACATTTCAGAATTATTTGTGAATTAACCAATAAACTATGATCCACTAAATCTTTTTGTGAGCTCTTGGCAGGGAGAAGAAAATACATTAGTAAGGGATTTTTTATTATAATCACAAGGAAAAAAATAAATATAAATCTTTCTCTTAAAGATTTCTTTCCCTTCCCCCACAGAGTGACTCTCTTTGAAATGGAGGTTAATAAGCAATTAATAGCAAAGACTTAGCTAAAATATTGCAAATGTGATAGTATATTACCTCGGTAAATAGGAGAATTTGGAAAGTTAGAAAATTAAAGACTTTGGTATGTGAAAGATCAATAGACATGACCTATTACTATTTAATATGAGCTTTAATTTTTAAATGCCACGTTCCAATGAAAAAGGGCATTGCACAGGAAAACTGTAATTTCAATAAAGAATCAAGACAAAAGAAACAAACTTTATATTAAAGTACCTTTAAGAGGTTATACTTACGCAGCAACCTCTTCTTTTGACAATCCTTTGAAATTCACCTCCACGTAATGATCTATGTCATCTTTTTCTTTGATCAACTGAGACCTAAGTGAAATGGAAGGAAGTAATAAAGCACTGCCTGATCACGCCGAAAAGCTACCAAACATATAGCATGCTGGGCATGCAGGACAGAAACGTTCAGGGTATAATACCGTATCTAACCAGGTTCTTCAATAGTCACAGAATTTGATTGCTGACTGATCATTTGAAAGTTTTAATTTTCTCAGGTGGAAAAAATTAGGGAAGAATATTAAACCCAGGGTATAAACAAATAAAACACCACACATTAAAATAACCCACATTCTCAAGTATATGGAATTTCCCCCTCAAAGCTTATAAGACCTTCCATTTTTTTACTCATACTATTTCAGAGCATAACTTTTCAACCAGAAGAGTCATACTCTGTTTTTCAGAGGATCCTGAACTAAGAAAAGAGCTGTTTTGATACAAAACTCAATAATTTTTTTGAGGCAAACATTACCAAACCTTTTTCTGAAGTGCCATTTGAATGTTGGTTTTTTTCTAATCTCATGTAAAAAAAAACAAACCCTTAAATTATTATTATTAAAAATTCAAGGTGCAAAGATCCAGGGCCCCAGGAAGACTCTACTTGGTGTTACAGAGAAATATATCTGTATTATGTTCATTCTTCAGACACCTGGCACCTTTTAAAATAAGATAACTGAGAATATGGGACTAAACAAATATTTTTTTTTCACAAGTTAATAGAGAACACTGATACAAAGCTTTGCCGTAAATGGTTAGGGTAAACACGTTCTTTAATAAAATAAATATAAGGAAAAGTTTTCTTTATCATCTCTTATTTTGGGGATGTGAGGTATGGGCTATAGTTTTGGCTCCTGTTGCAAAGAAAATGTAATCTTAATCATTAAAGAAGACAGGACGAACACGTTTTCTCAGACTTTGTGAATATTTCACATATTCAAAAGTAAAGTAGAAAATAAGAAAGTATGTATACCTGAATTATGTACATATTAAAAACTGTTCTCAAATTTCTATTATAAAAGAAATTTATGTCCGTTCGGGTGAATGTATTTATGTTGGTCCAGGGGTTTTGGCCTTTCCCAGAAATACTAACAATGAGGATGATCCTTCTCCCAACAAAGTGATCCGGTAGTACTTTGATCATGACGCCTTGCAGGAATTGAAAAGAACGCACACAAAGAAAATAAGCAACCCTCCACGTGCAAATTATTTCTACTCAGAATCATATGTGCATTACTAAAAATCAATAAAACGAGAAATGGCAATTTTTGAAGGACACAACCTAATTAATCTGCATTAATTATCACAAAGCACATCGAGCTTTCTGGCCTGTCTCAGCGGCTCCTCTGCTCTCAAATGCAGTAGTGGTTGCACGATGCATTTTCAGGCCCCCGGATCATTTCAGGGGCTAAATAATGCGTGCCACGCCAGCCTCATCGTAAAACCGTGGCCTCCTCCCCCAGCACAGAAGCCAGCACTCTGAACCTTGTAGATTAGAAGCCGCACGTCTTTCATTCTCAAAGCTTCTGCTTTCTATTCTCCACACATGTTTGAAAAAAGGCAACGTATCTCGGAAGCTCTAAGGAGCCAGGGCATAATTGGAATAGGAAATAATATGATCAACCAAGCACTGGATTGTTAAATAAATATACTCCTAGGTTTTGACTGGGGTTCTTAAATCCTTTTGAAACAGCAAATTTGAATATACTGAATATTCAACTTAAGCAATCTATGTGTGTCTTTCACCAGTTTTGTGTGCTGAGATATGTCATTGACATTTTTTCCTGCAGGAAATTCATTCTCTAGGAAAAGAAAGGACAATCGGGCACGTACCTGGGCACCGACCTAGGGGAGCAAAGCAGCTTCTGTCTGGCTAAGGCCGTCAGCCTTGAACGCGTCATGGGCACTGGGGTCAGGGCGGTCATGGCGGACTACAAAACAAAACCAGCAGTGGCGTTTTAAAGACTAAATCTCTCAAAGAATCCTTTAAGCCATGATTAGAGACCCACAGCCTGTCATCTGAACAAGGCTGCCTCGGTGTGTAGTGCTGCAGCTCTATTATTCAGGAAGCATGTTCTGTGTGCGAGCGGATTCTGCAGGTTGCTGCTCTCATTATTTCCTTCTGCTGTGAGCCTTTTGGCCAATTTATTGCCTGCATCTCCACCACGAAGTGGATGAGCAGAGAATCTGATCAATGAATCGAAGACCCATTGATAGGAGTTGCTTAGGGACACGGTCCCAATTAAATAGTGAAGAGCTTTACTTTTCACTGTGGGCTTCTAACGCTCATGCTTCGCTTTCCTGATTCAATCAATAATTGAAAATGGCTCATATTGTGCTGTTTCCTAAAAAGCTTATCACTCCCAAATAAAGGCTTTTACTGAGAAGCAAAAGGTTCTCAACAAGAGCCAGCTGCCCTGAGAAAGCCCCCACTATGAGTGTAACAACTTCAAAATTAAGTGACTTTAAAATGAGGGTTTAAAACAACAATCACTTGCTCATCTCTCACATTATATATGGGGCTGGGATTAGGACAGGGCACGATGGGAAAAGCTTTCTCTATTCCATGAAGGACTGGGTCACAGATGGGAAGACTCAGAAGTCTGGGGGTAACTCAATGGTAGGGCAGGAATCACCTGAAAGTGTCTCCACTCATATATCGGGGGGCCGATGATAACCAATTGCTGGAACCTCAGCTGGGACTGTCTGCTGGGCCCCATACCCATGGCTTCCTCACGGGACTTGGTTTCCCACTCAACATGGAATCCTGAGGCTTCTTACATGGCTGCTCAAGACTCTCAAAGCAAAATGAGGTGAAAACTGTACCCCTTTTTATGGCCTGACGTTGGAAGGCACATTGCCTCGAGTCTGCTATAATAAAAGGCCTCGTCAGATTCAAGGCTAATGCACAAAGACCCCCCTAAGGATAGGAGGATAAGAGCCACTTGTAAGAGGAGACAAGGACGAGGCCATACGGTGTGGCCATCTTTGGGGAATGTCTAGGGTTGGTCTTGTTTTAGTTCTGCCAAATCCTTTGCTTTATTCTACAGATGAGGGAAACCATCGGGTATCTGTCTTTCTCCTTGGTCCTGTCCGTCCTTACCTCTCATCTGTGCTATCTTTGATGGATTTCAAAAGTGAGAGATGACAGCAATGACCGTGCTTGTTCTGGTCAGGGCGTTCCATCCTCTGTGAATTAAGACTGCCCTGAGATCCCCATTTTGCCTTCCAAGAGCACTGAGGCAGGGATGATCTTTGCCTGACTGAAGAAGTCATTGGGGGGCTCAGCGAGGAGTGAGGACACATCCCAAACCTGGATGATTCCGCTACATGCAGACAGACAGAAGGACCAGAGAGCATAACCCAAACATGCATGTAAGTACCCCCATAGCTGGCTTACCAGAATGTGTTACAACATTTATCCTTCCTGATGTTTACTTGGGTTAGATAATTTTTGCCGGGAAATACACACACTGAATGCAATCAAATGCAAATGTTAAATGTAGAAAGGAACTTGTCTTCTTTGTCATGTGCATCGGCTGTGATTTTTTCGAAATCTGAATCATTGTTTCCTACCATTAAAGTTTCAGCTGCCAGTTCCTTCATTTTGCTCTCCTCTGATCTGAGAACATTAGCAGCAGGAGCACCTTTACTCTTAAATTTAGTTTAATGTGAGTGCTGCAAGCCTGCTGGCAAGCCTCAAGGCACAAAGTCTGAATGGGGGGCAGTCAGAGCCGGATGATGAAGCGGAAAAAAGTTATTAATGGCAAGTTGCAAAAAAATACCCCTCAACCAATCTATGTTGCAAAGTTTAAGCACAGAGTTAGTGTGAGCCATGAACACACTCCCCTCCTTGCCTGTGCCTGTTGGGAAAGGAGTTTTGTTGTTCACCACCGACATTTGGCCACATAAAGATATTTTATTTTACAGGTAATGTGTGAACTGAATTTTATGACACACATAATGTTTGAAATTTATCAAATATTTAGAAGAATCCTGTAACAAATTATTTTCTTATCTAAGTAATCACCATCTCCTTTATGATTTATAAGTCCAATCTAATTTATGCTGAATTTTCTTAAAGCAGGAAGCAGCTGCATTCTAGCACAGAGTAGTAGTCAAGGGGAAAGTAAGTGAGGGAAAAATGCAGGCGTGCTTGGGGGGTCTGTCATTTCAGGCTTAAATTACACCTGTAGACTGCAGGAAAACTTTTTTCTTGGTTACCATGAATGGGATTGTTTCCTGGTGTTGGCCCGACAGTATTCCCATTTCCTAGGTGAGTGCCCACGGGAAGGAACCAGACTGGTGCTGCAGGATGCAGAACCTGGGCCTGAAGCAGCAATGGCACTGTCCACCCCTGACGATGGACTTCGCCCGGGCTCTTAGTGTTGGGTGACTATGTGCCCTGGATAAACGCTGCTTACTGTTGCCCCACCTCCATGCCGGAGACATCCCAGGTGCCCAGGAACACAACTCCCATCATTCCATGAATCTGCCACGATCCTTGACTTCTTGAGGAGGGGTTAGCTGGGAACCAGGAGTGGAGTGAAGCAGCCATGTTTGGCACAAAACCGAACACATGTGGGCCCACCAGCTTGCTGGGTTTTACCTGCCTTCAATGCCTGGGTCTGAGCTCAGACGTTACCAGTAGGATGTACTGACCAGTTAATCACTGTCTCTATGTTCTCCTTCCTCTCGTTTCCCTTGTAAATAAACCTCTTACCACCTTTCTGTGTGTATAAGCACTTGGATCTTGCCTGAGTTTTGTTTTTTGGTTTTTTTTTTTAGATTTTTATTTATTTGTACATACAGAACTGGGGTACAGGCCAGAGGCTCAGGGGCGGTGAGAGGCTTCACCAGAGACAAAGTGGGGAGCAGAACAGGCAGATCGACGAAGTACACTGCTGAGGGGAGCAGCGGGCAGGTCAGGAGAGGTCTGCCGCGCCCTGTGGTCACCTCCGGGGCAGGCGGGAATCAAACTCATGCGGAAGTGGCTTCAGCTTCTCAGTGCTGTGCTTTAATCCACTGCGCCACCAGGGAGGGCCTTGCCTGAGTTTTTTAATTGTGGTGAGGACTCACAGTAGGCCCCCATTTCCCTTTTGGGTAGCCCTGGAACACTAGCTCAACACCACTGAGGAGATCATTCAAATGATGAGCCTGCAGGAAGGACAGTGGCCCCAATTCAGGTAAGAGAGAAGGAGAAGAGATACTTCTCTGCTTGGCCTCAAAATAGGTTGAGCCCCGGAGCTCAGGGTGAAGTAAGCCACTAGGAAGGACCCAGGGGCAGTGCCCCCGAGTGCCAGCAAGTGGGCGGTGCTGCCCATGGTACCACGGTGCTGAGACTGAGATCAAAAGGCCGCCTGAAGCCATTCCACTGTGGGTATTCAGGAGAGATTTGGTGGATTCTTTGATCTGCTGGTTGGCTCTTGTATCACAGTTACAGTCTAAGTGTGGCACCCCCACACAAAGACGGATGAGAATGGCAAAATACAGGATGAAAGGTTGGAGGGTGTTCGGTCAAGCTGAACCTGTCTCTTGGTGTGAGTTTAAGTTTCTGGCCCCCAAGTCAAATTCTTCAAAGAGTAGCCCTTTTTGCAGACTACTCCCAGAAAGACCCTCACTGGGAAGCATGAAATCAGGGCAGGCCTACTGCTGTGTGGCCAGCGTGACCTGGAGACTTAGAACTGTTTGAGGCTGACCACTGTCTGTAGAGTCCAGCCACTTTGGGCAACAACTGAGGTCTGAATGAGGTCAACAAACCACAGCAAGCAAATTTATGACATGTCATCAAGACAGTTCAAAATAAATTTGATTGTACTATTTCCAAGAAACCATGTGTAAGAATGAGAACTATTCTTAACACTACTGTAAGCTCCTTTACTCTGAAACTTTAAAGAAAACTACAGAAGTTAGGTCAGTAACAACGCTTCTGAAAAGTAAAAAAAAAAAATCCAGCATATTAACTAGTTTAGAGTTAGTGCTTACCCTTTGTATCATACATCTGACAAAGGTCACTAAGTGGAGTGTTATTAAATAAATAAAAATTATACATTCCCTACCCACTGACATTCACTGATGGTTAAATAAAAATATAAAGCAGGAAAGATGTTTGAAGGCAGGTCATATTTCACTAGACTTACATTTAAGATTTCTGTTGCAGGTCTCTGCAGACTTCAGCCTGAGTATCAGGAAATAAGTCACCACAGCGAAGAAGGGAGGAAAAAAGTTAAAAATTAGTACATAGAATTCCTGTCCCTTCCCCAAATCATGGAGTAAGTGTAGTTCATAGAAAAGCATCTGTGTGCTTACTGTGTGTTTATGTGAAGTTGAACAAGTTTCTCAAGTGCAGAGAAACCCTTTGGGAGAAACTCACGCAACGTCCTGCCAAATACATCTGAAGTATATGGTCAGGATACTCCAAAACAGGTGTGACAGGTGCAACATTAGAGTTAACAGTAGTGTGACGCCCCAAACTTGAGAGAGTCGGAGCCAGGGAGTCCCAGTCCCCTTTCTCTCCCCCGCTAGTTTAAAGCAGTATGAATCCATTTACTCCTACACGGTTTTTTTGTTTGTTTGTTTGTTTTGTTTTTCTGGAGGGTCAGGCCAACTGGCTGAAGAGCGCCCTTCCCAGCTCCCGCAGCATTGGGGTGGGCCTCGCTCAGAAGTGTGGGAGACACTACAGACAGGGAGGAGGTCACCGGCCAGGGACCCACCGTCCGGAAGCACAGCCCCCCCTTTTCTAGCAACTGGGCAAACTGAGCCCGGAGCCTCGCCGCGCCGTCACGAACCTCGGTGAACCGGCCCTGCAGAACGGCTCTGGTTTTCTCTCCCGCCTAACGTGTCCCCCACCCGCGGTGGGTGCGGGGCGCCAGCGCCGCCCCTCCTTCCTGCCTGGTTCCGAGGGGACGGGATCCTGGTGGCGGCCGGAGGGGACGCGACCGTCTCCAGGGCTACAGAGGGGCGGGGCTCGGCTAAGCCGGGTCTCACGATTGGGCCTTTTCCCCCTCTTGGGCGGAGCCAGGAGGGGCGGCGCCTGCTGAGGACTGGGCCGGGGTGGGGTGGTGGCCTAGAGAGTGGGGTTACTCAGTCCCAGCCGGGTTTCAAGCCAGGCTGCTTTCAGATGTCCCCTACTTTCAGAAGATAGTTCATCTGGCCCAGGGGTCTCGAATTTGACGCGCTGGGTCATTTCTTGCGTGGCATTGCTTTCTCAGTGTTTTACATTTCTTCACTGCTCGCTGGATTGATGGAAAAAAGAGCCCTGGGCTTGGCTCCTATAACCCCTGTGGCCGGAGGCCCGTCCCTCAGTCCCTGTGGCAATAAGAGCCGGCTCTACCCGCCCCCAACACCTTTCTAAAGACAATCCAGTTTTGATTTGCTGTACTAACAACTCAAAGTCTCTTTCAGAAACGTCCTGCATCCTGTCCTTATTACCTTTTTAAAAATCTACCTGGAACTCAGGGTTTTTATAGAGCGTCATCCTGTTCCTCTCGGCCCATCGTTTTATCCTTTTCCTCACATGTAATGCAAGGAAATGACTTCCTTGCTCAATCTCATCTATACAGAGGGCAGGAGTGAGGCTTGTTGCTTATACCTTCTCAAGCAGAAAGGTGCTGGACAGCAACGCTTTTCTTTTTCACCTGCCGTCGCCCATTGCAGTAAGGTGAGCAGCAGCGTCGCTCACCCAAGTCACTCCTTTAACCATAAATGGATTCTATTTGGAGTACCAACGAAACATCCACTTTCATTCTAACATCTAATTTGCTACAGCAAATAACTGTGTTATTTCCACCAAGCATGCTTATATTATGCATTCCATTGATCACTAGACTTGCCGATAGTGGGCTCCAGGCACACCCCCATGCTAGAAAGTCCCCTTCTGGTCTCAAGAGAGCATCTCCCAGCACTGTGCCCTGTGAGAAATCTGGCCTCGCTGCCTTTTCCACTGAGTGGACTGTGAATTTCATGCACCCTCTCTCTCCCCTTTCCTAGCCTGGCGTTCTAGGTGACCCCTTCTTGCCTTTTTGACCCTATACTTCCCCTTGCTGATTTATCTCGCAGTCTTTCTCCTTCTGCATAGCGTAAAATTTCCCACATCTAGGGAATTCTAAGTGACTGAGAACCTGACTCAAATTGGCTTAAGAAAAGAAAGTTGATTGCTTTCCCCAAAAAATAGGCCCCGGTTTTGACTGCAAGTTTATGTACAGACCCAGCCCTTTTGAAAACTTTGAAGATTCTAGAACATTCCTACCTTTTGCCACACAGAATGAATCTCCTTCTCTCTTTACTCCTCCTTCAATCTACTTTTATTACATGAGCATCACTTTGCATGGTCGTTGATTTATGCGACAAATCTCTCCAGAGATTGTGAGCCCTTGGAAAACAAAAGTGATTCGAAATGGGTGGCTGCAGGCCCCCGTGGTCACTCCCAACGTGTGTGAATCAAAGGCAGAGAGGCAGACCCACTCCGAGAGACACTGGCCTTCTACTTTGACTTAAAGATTTTCTTATAGCTTTCCTAAAACTTACATCTAAGCTTCCTCCCTTACCTTCATTAGTTCCTTCCCTGCTTTCTCTCAAACTGGCATTTCTTTGTTACTCCATCTTTCCCTTCAGCTATTCAAGAATACCAACCAACACACCTAAAAACTTTCCTAAATTCACCTCAACATCTAAGTTACAACATACAAGGTCAGAAGAATCTCCACTGGGTAAACTCAGTAGCAGATCGTTGGATAGCAAATCTGTTGACTTCACCCGGATGGGGACCGTGCCTGAGAAACAAGTCCACATTGACCTACAGGCGTCTGTTAGGTTTCCTGAGTACTCAGAGGAATAGGGCTGCTGTAGGAAAGACCTATTGATAGACTACTTTGAATGGACCCAGAGTGGAGCGAAGAGGTTCTTGATAACCAGGCAGACAGACTTTCCTGCACAGAGGGGGTGAATTTCTCCCAGCGCTCACTTGATAACTCACGGACAATGTGATCTGCAGATGGATTAGCCTGCCCACTGGTCATACTTCTGATGGTCACATCACCTGTGCATGTGTGACTTATTTATGATCACAATGCAAGTGGCTTCTAGGGGATGAAGTAAGGTGGGGTACTGGCACTCATGGATTCCCCCCTTTTATCAATAACTTCTGCTGTAGCAGTATAGAAAGAAACATGAGGAGACTGGCAGCCCCCTGGGCATATACTGCTTTCCAAGTGGAGGGTACTTCTCCACAGAACCCCCCACAGCATGCCTGTGAACCAGGGATCAGAGTGAAACCAGGGGAGTTGGGTCCAACACCCTAAAGGTAAAGGAGGCAGTGGTACTGTGTGATGTCACACTTAATATCCCATTTGCAAAAGTTTACTTCTCAGCAACAGGATTCTAGCATGTGCTGAGTTATAGTGCTTATTACCAAAGGGAGAGACTATTCTCCTAAGCATCTTTTTTTTTTAAAGATTTATTTATTTATTCATACAGAACTGGGGTACAGGTCAGAGATGCAGAGGGTGAGAGGATTCACCAGAGACAGAGTGGGGGTACAGAACAGGCAGGTCAAAGAAGTACACTGCTGAGGGGAGCAGCGGGCGGGTCAGGAGAGGTCTACCGCGCCATGTGGATCTCCTCCGGGGCAGGCGGGAATCGAACTCATGAGGAAGTGGTTTAAGCTTCTTTGTGTTGTGCTTTAACCCGCTGCGCCACCAGGGAGGGCCCTCTCTTAAACATCTTATTCTGTTTCTGTGAACTGGATGGAGAGTCTGCTACCTGGTATTTCAGGTGCCTATAGGGGTTATGGTATTAAATTGGACACTTCATCGTGGCTACCAAGACAAAGGGAGGAAATAAATGACAGTTGTACTGCTTTCCAGAGCTTCTGTGCCCAATGGTGAAACTAGAGGACTACAAAAATCTCACTCATTTTGGAGGACTGAGGGCTTATATCCACTTGAATTTTCAAGTTATTTTACCAGGAAAATAACCTGATCAGCTGAGATACTAAATGGAAACAAATAAAACATACAGTGAAGAAGAAAAATTATGTATACTTGTCTACACTCATGTGCACAACTTGCAGAAACAATTGCATCTAACCCCAAGACAGACGAAATCACACCAGAACTTGAGGAAGATCAGACATTGCTGGATGACCTTGGACTGGGGTCTGAATATTGTAACAGGTAGGATTTTTGGTTGACATCTTTTTGGGAATAGACTGATCATTACAGCAAAGGAAATTATGGACGACTACGATGCATCCTTTTAAAATATACACATAAATACGAGAATGCTAATACTGAACTTCCAGAATAGTAAATCTTACTGGGAATTTGTCATTTCTTTTGGTAGTTAGGAGTGTTTTCCTCCAACATAAATTTACCTAAAGGGATCCATTGAAACTACAGCCTTGCTTACATTTATTTGTATAAGTGCTAACGCATGACAGTTAAGTTTTATGGATTATGGTTTAAAAAATAAGATAAATTGATAATCATCAACTGAGGGGCTACAAAGCATGATTTGGTTAAAGGAAACTAAGATAACCTCACACTGTGTTTTTACTGTAGGATTTCTTACTTCATAAGAGTGACTCTTATCTTTCTTTCATGAGCACGAAAAACCTGGAGCTCACGAGTGCCTCAGGCAAGTGAGTTTGAAGGTCTTGAGATTGAATGAAAGATAATAATCAAAATCTAGGTCAAGATACTATTTATTCTATAGAGATTTGTTTAAACTAATGCTTTAAATTGAAGCCAGAACACATTTTAATATATGATTCATAGCATGCCTATCAGATACTCTTAATGATTGCACACATTGTAATCTCATTCTATTTCACTTTGAGGAATTTTTGAACATCAAGTAGTATGGCCATTAAATTATCATTACAAAGATATCAAACTTCCTTCATTGCGTCTAACTATTTCTCAAGACACAGGTATGCACCATGGGCCTGAAAGCGTTGGAAACTTCAATATGCTTTTTCAGAGAGAAATTGAAAACAAAGGATTATGGCAAAAAAAAAAAAAACTGAGAGAGAATGGATAAAGTGGCAAAAAAGAAGTGTCTAGTCTGAGTTGTGACAAGCAAAGTTTATCCTCAGAGAACCAGGAGGAAGAGACGAATGCTCTTAACATTAGCAACAGCACAGGTCTGTTCAATTGTGTAATAATTATAAAAATATAA